GAGAGAGAGAGAGAGAGAGAGAGAGAGAGAGAGAGAGAGAGAGAGAGAGAGAGAGAGAGAGCTAGACACTGTCAGAGATAGTTGTGCAGTTTTGTTTGTATAATATAAATATTGATTGTTTACTTGCAAATATTCTCTTAATATTCTTATCTATTGATTACAGGTAGCCTTACTTACTATTAATATCTGCACATTCCGTTTCACACAGAAATCAATCATTGGTTATCAGTAGCTGATTCTGTGTAGATAGTAGTACTAGTATCTTGCTGAGTGTGAATTGCCTGGGATGTTCTAATTTATAGTTATACGTCTTGTTGGAAAGTATTTCAGGGGAACGTGATCATCTAAGTCCTAAATTTCATTTTTTAAATTTTAGATCTGTGTGGTGGGGTTTTTAGACGATTGCACTAATTACTGAATGTGTAGTTTATATCACATGCCAATATATATATATATATTATATTATATCATATACTCTTGTTTACAGTGGAATAATGCTAGTATGCTAGTCTTCACCAAAACTGGTTGCGTGGGTAGTGTCATAAATTAAGGACCATAATTGTCACTAAAGGTTTGCATGAGTATTCTGGAGTACACATTACGATTAAGTGAGCTAATTTAGTTGGGTGATGCCACTGGGATAACACTCCTGTCTGCCCATGTGCTGTCTCCACTGGGAGACCAAACCTGTACTGTGCACTATTGTTGCAGAAAAGAAAACAAATTTTCTTACGGCTAAGCAAATTCTGTCAGTGAACCAGTTCGTTGCTAATGCTTAGCAGGAGCTTACAACTGCAAATGCAATCCCTACCACTTCTGTTCTGACCTCAAGCACAGCTATGCATTGACCCCACAGTCACCAGACAGTACTGTAGTCATTCAAAGCCATAAAATGACTGAAAAGATCATGTTAGCCATGACTACTGTAAATTATCAGTTGTACTCGTCTGTAGGTCTGGTTCCCATATGATTCTGCATAATTGCAAACATTTCTTTTTACCTCTGTTTTTAATGGTGGTGGTAATCGCGTACTCTATCACTGGATAGGTGAGTTTGCACAGGCATTTCGTAGCAGATCCCAATGAGTACATCTTTACCCCATCTCTTGTTCTTCCTTTTATAGTTAAAAGCCCTCCACTGTATGCACTAGCACAATCACGGCATCCACTATAATGTCTCCATTACCTCCTGGTATATTAAATCACCTTATTTACATAATAGTTTTTTTTATAATAAAGGTTATGGTAATTGAACTTGTCTGTAGATATTTGAGTGTGGTGTTTAGCCCCAAGCACTGTCACTCTGTACCTGTAGACAGATAGTAACTTGTCACAATACTATACTGCCTAGATCACTTATCTGTCCGTACTAATAACCTGTCTTCTGTGTGTATACTATTTAATATTTATTATAAAGTGTTATGATTGCCATCTACCTATCCTTCAGTTGCTATTGTACCTGAACTGGTATTGGAAACTACGCGTGAATGGCTTAGCAACGAGTCTGAGAATTTGTCGTTTGGATTTGTTTAACTGCGAGACTGCTAGCTGTTCCACACTGTATCTGAACTGCAATATAAATTATCGTGGTCTTTAGCGGACGGTTTTTCGTTGTTGATGAGATCTACGTTCGTCTATAAGTGGCCCAATGGGGCAAAGATGCAAGCATTTGCTAGATTTAACCATTTTTTGTAGGTCCCATTTTAGCACATTTTTTGCAAAATACGGTAATGACATTTAAAGTGTTTATTGAAAGCCAGCACTTATATAAGAACAAGAGCATATTATAAAGAAGTATTCCTTCTATATATGCCCTTGATAAGAAGTATCTGACATAAAGAGACGATTGCTACAGTGCAGTGCGTGCTGAT